AAATTGTGACAACGCAGTTTGTAACGGATAACCAGTAACTTCTTACGAAGTAGTTTGAGTAGCTAAACGCCTTTTTTTTTCCGCTTCCCAGATGCGCTTCAAAGGCGCGTGATACCCCTGAGTGTCGTTTGAGACCTCTAAACAAACTGGTCTGTCTTTGTCTATGCGCGCGTTGTTATTTGCTTGTCGTTGCAGTTGCGATCAGTGGCTTCCGCTTTGCAAGCGGACTGACCATAATGAATTTTTTTGCTGTTGGGGTGACGAAACGGGGCACGCAAAGCTCGACGACGTCGAAGATCCATTGCGTCGTCTGCTTCCGTAGGCTCCGAGTCCGCCAGAGGCGCCACTGTCACGTTCGCCGCCGCGCGTGGTTAAAGATCCAGTACAATTGAAACGCGCACTCGATGTCATCGAGTGCGCGTGCAATTGCACTGGATCTTTATACAACCGCGTTCGCAACCGCTTTGCGAATTCGGATCCGCTTCCAGTGTGAATGGGCAGTTAGTGCCAGCGTAGCAGAGGCTACAAGAGTGAGCTGCGAGCTTTCAGCGTCTCTGTCAAGCACGCGCGCTCGTGCAGTGCGAGCATCGTTCAGGAGAACGCGCTTTTGCGAATAGCTTCGGCTTCGCTATCACGTAAAGTGAAATATACGTGCTCGTGCAAGCTATGAAATACAGCAAAAATAAAAGGAACGTTTAATGGGACGCTTCGGCCGCGAGCTGCATAATTTTTTTTTTTAGACGTTTTGTTACCGCGTATAGACCCGTTGCTCTGGGGCACGTGGCGCGAACGAGTCCGGAAGCGGAAGACTTGCGCAAAACGCGACCATGTTACAGAGTACTAGAATACTTGGGTAGTGTTGGGACCGGAGCGGCTCGGCAACGGCAGCTCGTGAGGGCGCGTGTATTGACAGTTCGTGGCGGCGCTGTAGTCGAGTTATCCGGAAAACCTCGCGCAGCCCGCTTTTTTTTCTTTTTTTTTTTTACTTTGAGCGGTGCACCTGTCGGTACCACGATTTTATACACTCCGTTTCACCTTATGTTGTTCCGCAGCGGAGGCTAGAAGCGCGAGCTCATAGCGTTGGGAGCTACTCTTACCGCACGAGAGCTCGTGCCGCCGAGATGTGCCCTAGAGCAAGGAGCTCGCGCTTGTAGCCTTTCCTGCGGTACAACACAAGGTGAAACAGAGTATAGGGAGTATTCACTGGCGGCCATAGCTGTGTGCGCGAATGCTGAGCGCGTGCTGATGGCGAGCTTCCACAGTTCTTTTGCAACGTGCATTCCGCACCATCAAGAGCGCCGGTCTTAACAGCCTATTGATGTGAGCTCGTTCTGAGCATGTGCTCCAAACAGCACCCACAAATATGGCGTCCAGTGAATACTCCCTATAGGGCACATAAAAAGAGTTGGCATTTTCAAATATATATTTTTTTTTTTTAGGTAAGCAAAGGGTTGAGGAACGGTTTAATGGGCCATGTTGCAGTTGCAGCTTTAAAGGGAGCCATTATTGAAGGCCAACCCAATTTAGAAACTTCGCGAACAAACAACGAGCTTTGAGCGAAAGCAACAAGGCGCTCGTTTTTGTTGTGTTTGTCCGTCCCTTCTCGTTTTCTTTCTCAAGCTTAATTATCTCTAGCAACCCGCTGGTTCTGTCCTTAGACATTCATCGCTAAAATTTTGCCTTTCTTCGCTTACTTAAAAAACCGCGCACTGAAAGCGCGAATGAGGTTGTGCTGATATTGATGCGTAAAAGAATGACACAGTGGTTTCTGTCCCCTCGTCACTAACTCGACAGCGTGTCTTCGGTCGACTTGCCGGCGCCACACATCAAGACGACTAAGTCACTATCCTACGTATTATTTTCATAACGCGGTTTCTGAATCAAGCGAAGAAAGGTAAACTTTTACAATAAATTTCGCGAACCTCGTTGCTTTTTCGCGGATTGTCGAAATTGTGTTTGCCTTTAATAACGACTAGTTTTAAAACTGCAATTGCACCATGGCCAATTAAGCCGTTAATAAACAAGTTAACTAACAGATTTTGGTTAATTATTAAACATTGCAACGGTTATTCACCCATTTATTGTCCACCGAGCCCTACAGATATAACGAAAGACGGCATATCTGCCACACCTTTTTTTTTGTAAGCTATGTAAAGTTCGGTAAAGAATAAAACAAAAACACCCTGTATGCCTGCGTGAACCAGATACGCCCCCTGTGGAACCATGGGTCTTTCCCTTCGAATACCCTGCTCAGGCGAGACTTACCTGGTTGTCAGAAAGCAGCTGTCGGTTAAATGTATTGTTATGGGCGTGTAGGTCTCAGATGGTTTACCCTCAAGAGGATAATGCGCTGCATATTGTAACCATGTTTCAATGCCGTGCTGTAAACTATTACAACTTTTTCCTTGCCTGATCTACGTGTGCTCATGATTTCTGCTCAAAATGATGTAAAATAGTTGCTTGTTTTCTTTGAATCTTATAAAGCCTTACTTGTTCAGCCCCCGTTTTCTCAGTTTTTGGACTTAAGTTCAATGTTAAAACAAGTGATAAAAATTGTCACGGCTTATAAGCCATTTCTTACAAGTGAACCTCGGGTGGTCCTCGGATGGTTGTGGCAGCCACGAAGAAATAAAAGATTCTCACTTCTTTGCGACCGTCGGTTGGGTGGTTCGTCTCATAAATGAACACAAGAATGAGTGACAAGTGAAGCGAGCTAATAAAGGTCAAGAAAAAAAAAAAAGACGGGCAGAAAAGAAGACAGAGAAGTTAACCTGGGGTATTAAAAGATACTAAAACAATATCGGACTTCAGTATAGGCCGTTTCGTTTCATTATAAAATAAGGTAGAAAAAAAAAAAAACTGCTTCTGAGTTTTAGATATCCCTTTCAAATATCTAATGTTCGACCTTTGCGACCAAGGAAATGGGCATTTCATTTAAAATGCTCACCATCCGACAAACGGAAAGTCGCAGCTAATTCTACGCTGAAACAACTTGCTATCCGCTTCTTTAAAGTCGCATTTTTTTTTATGTAAAGGAAGGGCAATGTAGCTTGTACCGTGCAATACATTGAAGCATAATGTTGCTAACGATCGTGCCGCAGCGTAATTCATGCCGCGGTACGACCACTGGCAGGTCGTAGCTGTATCAGAAATCTTATGTGCACTCCACCAAAGCGGCACCAAAGATTCATATTTTCGCACGCACACACCTTCTGGAAAAGGCGCCGGTGTCGACACCTGTCGCGATCAATACCACGCGCTTCAGACGAGCCCCTCCGGTTCCAACACTACCCAAGCATTCTAGTACACTGTAACCATGTTACGCTGGCTGCATCATCCGTGTGGCGCTGTAACGTTCGATTTTGCACGCGCCAAATTTGAATACAAGCACCTGTCAGCACCTGTAAATGCGCGGTAACAAAACATCTAGAAAAGTAAAAACAAAAAGTAAAAAAAGAACAGAATTATGCAGCTCGCGGCCGCAGCGTCCCATTAAACATTCCTTTCATCTTTGCTTTCTTTCATAGCTTGCGGGAGCACGTATATTTCACTTTACGTGATAGCGAAGCCGAAGCTACTCGCAAAAGCGCGTCCTCCTGAACGATGCTCGTACTGCACGAGCGCGCGTGCTTGGCAGGGACGCTGAAAACTCGGAGCTCGCTCTTGTAGCCTCTGCTACGCTGACACATAAAATGGAAAAGAGTAGAAGCAACTCCAGGGGGGAGCGGATTGATCCATATTATAAACGCGAGCCAAATATTTTATTTTGCTCGCCTGGAGCGCTGCTCAAAACGTGAGAGCTACGGGCCTATCTAGAGATGCTGGCAGATGCTCGTATTCGAACGTGGCAAGTGCAAAATCGAACGTTACAGCGGCACACGGATGGTGCAGCCAGCATAACATGGTCGCGTTTTGCGTAAGTCTTCCGAACGCGCTCGCGCCCACTGCCCCAGAACAACTCGTGTAGACTGACCCCGCGCCATGTGGAGTCAGTGATGTCAAATCTAACATAAACATTAAAAAATAATATAATAGCCGCGTTTGATTTACCTACACCTTCTGCACCGGTGCAGAAAAGTGACGGGCGGTGTACTTCCGGTCGTATCTAAATACACATACCGGAAGTATAGACTGCCCTACACGTTTTTGCACCGGTGCAAGCGGTGCAAGTAAACCGAACGTGGTTAATGCCATACTAATATTATCGCGAAAACTGGCGAAAACTCTTGCCGTTGTTGATCTATGTTGGTATATTTAGAACAAAATGAGAAATTACTTTTGCTGAAATTTTTTTTTCAAATGTGTCCAAACTTTTTGGAAAAATAACTGGTTTTCATTCTTTTTTTTTTCTATTTTTGCTTTGGAAACTTTCGAAAATTTTGCATCCCTAGAGTCGGTGACAGTTTTAAGGGTTGTTTATATTCCGACGTTGAGCGCCGTGAACGCAGCGTAGCGCAGAACGCGCGCCTTTCATTGGCCGGCGACCAGGAAACTTTCATTGGCCGCGACCAATCAGTAACAGTGCGCGCTACGCTACGCCGCGCCCGTCAACGTTACGTTGAAGTATAAACATACCTTAAGAGTAAAATGGAGCTAGCACTGTACTCTGAATCTGACTCTAGTGACACTGTGCCGTTATCGAGGCTACATGCCACGGATGGTGCATTGTGAGGATAAATCGTGTTTGTGTTCGTCTTGAAAATACTGCCGAATGCGCTAATGAATAGGTATATGCCCCGTTCCATCTCTGGAAGCAAACGGCGGCGGTAGCAGCGAAGCACTCGCTTATGGAATGTGTCTTACGCGTCCGGCGTGACGTTGTCGGTACATGAACCAAACGCGAAGCAGTGAATTTGATCAAGGGTCTTTAGGTTGGGATGCTAAATCTCTCTCTTTAACAGACACACGCACGCACGTACATACACAGAAACGCAAAGTCACACAGGCACGTACACGCACGCGCAAGCGCAAGCGCATACACGCACACACATATGTTCAAAGACGTGTTGAGAGTTTAGTATACTATATTGTGAAGTAGTACCCAGCCATGGATGTCCCTTCATACGTTGGTTCAATATGTTCCAGAGGCCGAACACGTTGGAAACTTTGAAAGGCTTTGCGTCCATTTAGTCCAATGTATCTTGTAGAGCTTATAGTTTGGTCTACAGTGAAAACTGAATAAACAAGAACACGACCTGGCTGCCGAAATGTGAAAATGAGAAACCGCGAAACAAGCCGTTGAGGTTGTGAATAGAAGCCTACCTTGAATCGCGCGCTCAGGAAGCAATACCGACGCTATCGGACCTTCGAAAACACTCGCTACAAGTCCGCACTTGCCGAATCTAAACCGCACGGTGTTTCACTCCCACATTCCAACACTTTCAGTACGTCGGACGTCAGGCGTAAGTGTTGGTAGCCTTCGGATGCCGATATATTTGTCGCGCCGTGGTCGACGTAGAAATCCAGAGCAGGCTTGTTCCAGTTGAGCACCTCCCAGTTGAGCACGTCACAATCCTCGCGCAGTCCGTGCTCGGCGACGGATTTCCAGAGCGCGCGGCCGATGCCCTTGCGTCGATGCTGGGGACGCACGTAGAGGTCTTCCATGTAGGCCACGCGTTCCAGAGTGTGCACTTTAAAGATGAAGAAGTAGAGCACGTACCCGACTACCTGCTCCACGTTATCTGAGGTCGTTATCGTCGCCAGGTTGACGCAAGCCCAAGGCTGTTCGTCGCTTCGGGCTTCATCGAACAGGTCGTTTGCCAGGTCCGAAGCCCCGATCTTGACCGAGTCGATCATTCGTTCGTAGTCGGCAAGTTCGCGGATCAAGTCCATTATCGAATCGCAGTCCGTGCGCTGAGCGGGTCGAATCTTGAAGGTCATTGTGGTTATGCCGACGTCTGACAAAACGTCCGCTGAAATATTAAAAAAAAAAAAAAATGCTTCAATGTGGCTACAAGGCACTGGCACGCCAACCGACCTAAAGGTTACAATCACGAACGGAAATGTCTGCCACGTATCTCATACCAGAGCTCCTATCAGTTTCCTTCCCTTATCGCGCTTTCAGTCCACTTGAGCGCTTCTCGAGCACTTGTCGCAAGCAAAAAAGCGCCGAAAAAAATTTTTCAATAAACATCAGTAGAGAGTGCGCCTTGTCCTGTTTCCCTTCGTCTGTGTCCCTGTATTTTTTCGGCGCTTTTTTGCTTGCAATGAACCAACTGGCCCAAATCTCCACTTCACTTGTCGCACCCGCGTTAGTATTGTGGATTGAAAGGGGGAGGGGGGCGATCTCTCGCTTCTCCCAGCGGCGGAGAGCGGTATCACGCTCGCCTCCGTGTCTTTCTCACTCACTATGGGTGAAGATTTTCGATTGTCAGTAACAAATTTGATTGTGTGTCTAAAAACACGGCGAGAGCTTGTAGTCATCGCTCTCTAATCCAACACATTCAAAGTTGGCACTGATACATTCATCTTATTTCTATTAATGAATGTAGGATTCATGATTGTCTAGACTCCATACCGAGCGTTTGTCCAGTCCTGGAAGGCCGACGACAGTGACGCCTTAGGTCGCGTATGGCGCCAATGGTATCGTCTCAAAGTCGACAGCAGCGCCACAACTGCATTGCTGCTTCTGCGTGCTCCATCCGCTATTCCCAGCGCTAATATCTGCTGTAGGAGGCTGGATCGCGGATCGAGGCTGGTCTTGTTATGTTCGAGCGAGATCACCAGCAGCCATCGCTCTGGGAAAAACGGGGAAAGCTGCTATTTCTTACCTTAGTAGGTTGTTCTCGACGATGCAACTTTTTTGTGCTTTCCCAGAATGGCAGTGAATATTCTGGGCACAAAAAGGAAAAGCGGTAGAATACCAGTATTTTTTTTAATAAATGTTTTGTGGTTGAAGGTCGAACGTTGCCACTTTGTCGGACGTAAACTGTGATGCGGTTCAATGAGACAAGGGTTGCCGTGAGCCAATGCGGTGTCGTTCGTGATCTCGAAGTCATCAGATCTTAGCAGATGATAAGCTAGAAGGTCTTTACTGGGAATCCTAATGATGGAAGTTTAAGGAGCAATAAGGAGTGTGGCAGAGTATCAAAAGTTTTTTGCAAGTCTAACACAATACAGTCAACCTGATCCCCAGAGTCAAATGAAGAAAAAACATCATAGGATAACTCGACCAACTGAGTGATACAACAAAAGCCTGTTTTAAATACATGTTGATATCTCACGAAAAAAGTGCTCGATTGTAAGTCGCGAAATATATTACAATATATTATATTCTCAAGTGTTTTATAACACAACCTGGTTGGAAAAATGGCTCAATAGTTCAAAGCCTGTGAACGAGGACTATTTTATTAACTGGGACACCATTCACCGTTTTTCATTCTAAAGGCAGTTTCTCGAATGATAAAGAAAAACTGAACGGGACCACAAGATATTTAGCGATAATGGGTGCACCAGGTTTTAAGGTATAAGAAGGACAGCATGCAGTCTGGCCCGGTGGCGAAGTTTGCTCTCAGTTCGGACAGAAGTTACAGGAAGCCCTCATAGAAAACTAGAACGTCTGGCATTGCTTCAAGAATACAAAACTTTGCTTCAGGAAGTGCGGTTCTTGCGGGTGCGGAGAAAACAGACTGAAAGTAACTATACTGAAACAGTCAGCTTTTTCAGGTTAACGACGTTTCGCGAAAGAGGTGTTTTCGCGGCAACCAACTCTTTGCTGCTTTAATTTTCTTTAGAAGCGAATAGACATAAACAAACAGAATAATTGCCCTTAAACGTTATTGTAAGAACTGAAGGGACCCGCCAAAAGGCATAACAAAAACAATAAAGTAGGTGCTGCTTGCACATGTGTGGTTACTGAATTCGTTCGTGCAGCTAATTAAAAGTGCGGTATTGAAAAAGTGTGTACTGTTGCTATGTTGAAATATGAAAAAATGAAGTGCGTTGAAATGTAATTTTTAGAAGTTAACAATTATTTTAAAAATAAACTGCAGGCGATCTGGGGAATGTTTATCATAAAATGATAAATCCGAGACTGGGGCACAAAAAAAAATGCAAAAAATACAGTACACGAAGGCACAGCTACCGTCTAAATCAAAGTGTACAAGCTTTTAATCGTGGATTTTCGTAGCAGAAAGTTTTGTTTGTTTCGCCGACCAAATTTAATGCTGAGTTTGGTAACAAATGTGACGACGTGCAGAAAACAGGGTGCAAACGTTTTTCTTCGGAAAAAGCTCATGCGAAGCGTAAATATCCTCACACGTACACTTTGTTGCCTGTCGCCTTTTACAGAGGCTTGTGCCTCTGTAAGTGTACTTTGCACTCTAGCATGCAAAGTTTGGTTCTAATAGACCGATCTCACCAAGCGTTCGGCGCATGCGTGACGCCGCCATAACTTTAGTTCACAGGAGGCAGGCAGCAGTGCACAAGACGGCTCGTGCCGCCTCATGCTCCACACGCGCATAGCTCCAGCGAGGTTGTCGCACGTGCAGAAAGACTAAAGCTCCCTCGATGCCTTGCGGCAGCGGGAGATCGGTCTATTGCCCACATTGTATTCTAGTGTGTAGGGCGTCGGGGAAGAAGAGGACGGCCGAGCGAGGCGCGAGCGGGGGCCAGCCGGCGAAGAAAGAGGAATAGCGTGCTGCACGAGGCTGGGGACGGGCAGGAACGATAGATCCGTTCTGGCCGGTCTGGCCCATGGCGAACCCCGGAGATTTCCACCAGCGAAGTTCTAATCAGAACCGGCGGAAGCGGTGAACCCTGATCATATCAGCCTAGTCCATGGCGATCCCGAAGTGGTTCCGCAGCGAGACTCTGGCTGTGATAGCCCGGAACAGCTAGCCTACGCAGCACTGGCGTGGGAAGGACGATCCGCCGGCCTAGACACGGACTCCGACTGTGAGCTCTGAACGACGGGCGACAACTAGGAACGGGACTGACGGCTCTCGAAGACGGGCAACCGGAATGTACAATAAACCCATTCGCTGCCTTCTCGTTGTGTTGTGTCACTTCCTGGGAGACGAGCGAAGCACAGACCGATCGGGCGGCCACAAGTAGTGAAGACAACTCAAACTGGTGTCCAAATGACGACTCTAGAATATTCTCTAAACACTTGAACCTATCAAGGCTCCCGATGGTCTTAAAAAACCGCATAAAAGAACGAGGGACATGGCACGCAGGGAGAGAGAGAGAGATGTTTTTATTTGATGAGGGGTTCGCCCGCTATGGAGTTGTGCTCCTGAGACGGGAGGGGAAGGGTTGTGAAGGGTGAGGGGGTGAGGGAGGTTTCATGATGATGGTAGTGACGTCTTAGATGAGGCTATGTACACCGGGCCCGACTCCCTGATATACTGTATCAAGGAGTCGAAGATGGCTTTCCTGTGCTGAGGAGTGCCCGTTGGATTGGTCCACTCCTCGAGCGTCGTAGGCTTGTCTACGCCCTGGATCTTGTCCAGAGCATCATTTCTATGATGCTGGAGGCCCTTACAGGCCCAGAGCAGATACTGCAATGTTGCCTCGGCTCCTTCCGAGCAGCTCGTGCACGTTGGGTCCATATCTTTTTTCAGTCCAAAAAATACTAGTTTGGATGGTGTAAGTGCAGTATTCGTTCTTATTCTTCGAATCCTGACGGTTTCCCACCGACTGTATCCTACCAGTATGTTGCTGTCTGTCGGCGGAAGCTGGCTGCGGAGGTAGGCCTTTCTCTCCAGTTTGGCGAGTTCGGCCCGTTCCTCCGGGTCCATTGCTTCCGCCTTCATCTTCTCCCGAGAGGTTGAGCCTGGTGCGGAGTGAGTGCTACAGGCTGTCTCCGCTGCGGCTCGGTGTGCCCTCTCGTTCCCGGGTATGCCACTGTGTCCGGGTAGCCACTCGATTGTAAGTATGGTGCCCATTGTGCGGAGCTCCACTGCCACTTTCTTTATTTGCTTTACCGTGCGACTCTTTGTTCTGCTGCATCGGCACGCACGAATTGATTCTTGTGAGTCCGTAAACATTCGTGCCTTGCCTGGCTGGGTCTCTTTCTTGAGCACGTCTTTCACCGCCGCCAAGATAGCCCTCAGTTCTGCCTCTCCGATAGAAGTCCCTTCGGAAAGTATTTCGGTGCTCTCTTCATTTCTTCGTGGATCGTACCACGACGTAGTCGTGGCGTCCTCTGTCTTGGCGGCGTCCGTGTACCGTAACTCATCTTCTGTCGCGTGCGTTTCGCACCAGCTTGCGTGTAGTCTGGCCGCTCGAGCCCGCTTCCCTTGGTTGAGAGTCTTCGGCATGGGTTTGTGGTCGGTGATGGTGTTATCTTGCCATGGAGGCTGCGGTTCCTCTAGCGGGGGCCTGTCTCGCATGTCGTATCCTAGAATTGCTAGGAGCTTGCGTCCGTGCTCTGTTCTCTCGAGCCGTTGAAATTGGGCAATGTTCTGAACCTCGGCACGCTCTTCGATAGTGTTCATCTGGGCTTCTTTCCTCAGGTCTTCTATAGCTGTGTATTTTGGAAGGCCTGTGACTGCCCTCATCAATTGGTAGTTCAACCTTTCAAGTTGCTTCCAGTGTTGCCTGGTCAGATTGAGCCAGTTGCAGCAGTACAATGCTTTGGGTGTGAGTACTGCCTCCGTTAAGATCCTGAGAGTTTTCTCGTCAGCGCCCCAGGACTTACTCGTGATCTTTCGGATGAGCTTGAGACCTTGTGCCCACCACTTCTGTAGCTCGGGTATCCACCTTGTGGTGCGCGCCGTCTCCTCGAAGGTGACTCCCAGTATCTTGATGTGTGGGCGTCTACTTATTTCCTGTCCATTGAACTCTAGTCGTATCAAGTCAGCTATTCCTTTCCTATGATCCCTTGGTCTGGCCACAACCATGTACTGTGTTTTATCCGGTGATGGCTCCATCCCAACTTCAAAGAGATATCGAGCACGCAGGGAGGCAGGTGCACACGGGGACTGCTGAAATCGGGGTCGCCGCCGCTCGCAACGGCCCGACGGGCAGACTGGCCGCCCAATTAACAGAGACGCCGCCGCTTGTGGTGCTGAATGCAGTACTCTC